AAGATGTCATCTTGCAAACTAGGTAGTTTTTAGGCTCAGGCAGCTTAGGATGCTGGTCTTGACTGGAACCTTGAAGTTCAGATTCTCTGTTGTGATACTATTGCTTCAAATACGGTGCCTGCGATATCCAGTGGAGCGACAAAGTCAAATATCTGGGGATCGTATTTGACAAGTCCCTCACCTGGAAAGCCCACATAGAAGCTGTCATGGCAAAGACCAGAGCAGCCATGGCTCAACTCTACCCATTACTGGGTAGACACAGCCGGATGCCGCTAGCGACCAAGCTACGGCTGATTAAGGCCATCGCCAGACCTCAGCTCGCTTACGCCTCCGCGGTCTGGGGTTACGCTACCCCCAGCTACCGCAAGCGACTTGCTGCTCTAGAGATGAAGCTACTCCGGATCGCCACCAGTGCACCATCCTACGTAAGAAACTCAACCTTGCGTAGAGACATGCATCGGGACACCATTCACGAGTACATGAGGAAAAAAGCGGAGAAGACCTTCGAGAAAGCTCAGGACCACCCGAACGAGCAGCTACGATTCCTCATGGACTACGATCCGGACGAGAGGCCTCGCAACCGCAGAACCAGGTACCCCAGACCAAGGTCCCAGTTGGCACCCGCTAACTGGAACCTTGACTAGGAGACTAGGAGAACTCGCGGTTGCTCCCCCCCCCCCCCCCACGGCGTGGATGCAGAGGACCAGGAACCACCGGGACCAGGACCCACCGCGACCAGGACCAACCAGGACCAGGACCCGCCACGACCAGGACCCACCAGGACCAGGACCCTTCAGGACCAGGATTAAGAACAACATATTGGTAAGAGGACTTGAAACTCTTGATTTTTCGAAAACAAGAGTTTCAAGAGACCCTAGCAGACCCTCTATCGATGATCGCTTAACGACATCGATAGAATGTTCGAGGTAAAGGGAACCAACCCGGCGTTCCCAGAGACTGAAACACATGAGGAGACGTTGTAGCAGACCGCAGGTCACGCACAACACATGGCCTACCGGACGCTGATGAGTCGGGCCACGCGGAGGTTTAGGGTTTAGTGTGTATTAGGTGATCCTCAAGACCCTGGAGTCCCACACACGCCGTAGCTCGGGCTATGGTATGGTGCGTAAATGCATTCCCCCCTCACCAAAAAAAAAAAAACCTTGAAGTTCAGATTCTGTGGTGTGATACTATTGCTTCAAATACGGTGCCTGCGTTCTTCCCGAACAAAAACTTGAAATGCTTATTTTGCTTGCCCATTAGCCCATTACGTCTACGAATTGAATATTTCAGAGACTGACAAACTGCTAGAATTTTAACTGCATGAATTGACCTAAAAAAATTGCTAGATACGACAATCGAGAATTAATAGAACTTTCAATAAAATCCATTGGCGGAGATACTGTCGCTTGTTCTGGGTTCTTTCGGGTGTGGATTAAAACACTGGATTCCACAAAAAGGAATGCACCGATTCATTTAACTTGATAGAACATTTATGTACACCACTATTTATGTCTGACTAATTCTTATGTCGCCATTGACCGCACTATACTCCACTCCGCTCTGCTACTCTACCGTATGTAGTACTCGCCGCCGAGTTATATAGTCCGCTTCGTTGAGTCTAGAAGAATCGGGAGCCACATAGCGGCCTTTCCGAATAGTCGAGGTTGCTTCGCGTCGATCTAGAAGGCGATCCAGTGCCACGGTCCTCACAGACGCCGCCAAGCGGCTTGTACGGTCGTGGTTCGCGTAAAAGCAGAGATCGGCCATGAAGCCCTGGCGAGTAGGAGACTCGCCCAACAGATGGCGCCAACAGTACTATTCGTCACAACACAGAGGAAAGATAAGATTCGACCGCCAGGCGCCATGCATCACGCACGAGGGATGGCCACAGCAATCTATTCATTAAAAGTAGCGTTACTAAGGTCCCAGCTCAAACTTTCTAATAAAAATAAGGCAGCTTTTTTAGATATCTGCTTGTTAATCGTGACAACATACGTGAAACATTGGTTGCAATGTGGTAAAAGCACCTAACCAGGACTTATGCTTTTTAAATGCAGCGAAGGCTTACGAAACAACAACAACAAGCTGCACACGTTTATTTGAGAAGAATTGATTTTATCATTCGACCTGCGATACCATCTGGAACTCACCTCGATTAACTCAAAATGGTGATCGGTTATCGCTTATCTTCACCAAGATATTCAACCGCTAATTATTTATTTAAATAAGCTACAGTGAATTTCTTTGTTTTCTGTCTGTCCGATTTGTGTAGAATTGCATTTGACACAGCGACTGTGAAAAAGTGGGATAATAAGGCCAATTATCGCAGCGTCAATCAAGTCCGTTATGCAAAGTGATTACAAAAATAAATAAAATGAAGAACATTGTCGTAAAGAAGCTTTTACTTGGTCGTCAATAAGAACTAAATTACTTTCTTGCTGTTAAAGCGAAACAGGCCTTTATTAGAAAACTTGTAGCTTCATCGGGCTAGAAAGTATAAAACGGCATATATTTCCAGTTGGAAATTCTGTTTTTGTTCTTCTATAGGTATTGGAAAATCCCACTCTCGACGTCACTGGTACGAGGGATGTCTTTTAAGTTTTGCATAAATGGAAATAAAACAATACGGTAGGTAGTTTTAAATGACTTTATTGTTTTTCGAATTATTTTCCACGAAGATTAATACACATCTGCATGCACGTATTGTTGTGAAACTTTGAATTTAAGTTTACTAAAGAGTGAGGTTAAGATTCAGCACTGACGTTCGATCCGCGCGGCCTACTATGTTTTCATATGCAATACTTAAATACATCCCTCGTATAAGTTGATGTCGGAATAGTTTTATATGTCAGGTCCATATGCATAGGGCCTTTGGAGAGAAAAATGTGTTCTAGCAGAATCAAATTTTCAACTAGGCTTTTGACGACACATGCGCATTGAAAGATCACAATCTGGCGTCGAACCGTTGGAAATGTGATGCTAGATCATTACTAAACTTAGGAGCAATAAAACATAAATGAAGTTCCTATACAATCAATCCGATCGACAGCGTTGCTAATAACCATAAGATTGACGTTTGCGATTAATTTTAATTTTCGCCGAGTCCGTCTTAATTAGACGAGAAAAATAAAAATGTACCTCCCGATTAAATAAATGCTAATTGTTAATGTTACATAACACCGGCGATAATCGAAATACAGAACATCGCGTGCGCAGGAATTTTTTTTTATTAAATACAGGATCACCTGTTTAATAGCATGCGTCTAAAATGTGGATTTATGAGCGTCAATTTACGCTTTTTGCTTATCTGCGGTGCCTGTTTAATCGTTGATTATGTCCAAGTTTAATGATTACCCAAGTATACGCAGGCAGATGGTTCGAGAGTTGCATATATCTTCGAACATCTCGCCCGCCCGAGGGCCTCGGGGATGCGGAACAGATAACCAGTCAAGTAGATCGACTCCACTTCTCGCGCACTTGCATAAATAGCTTTTTTGGTGGTACATGTGCGGTTCCGGGTGATAGACCAACAATGTCCCAATTGGCTCTAAGGTCGCCAAATTGGGTTGCGCTGCTTCCGGTTGTGTTACTGAGTGGACTGTACAGGGTGTCCCAATATTCCAAGGATATAGAAGTACCACGTACGAGCCCTTTCCCACTTCAGTTGGCGCACTTCAAGATTTGTACCAAAATATGTCTTTATAAACGAAACTATTTACTTTTTATTTTCTCAAAAACATTTTAGATACACTCTAGTCGTAAAAAATACATATTTGAAATCACTTAGATCTATAACTAATAGAACATCTGAACAAATAAACAATGTGCGAATAAATGCGCGCAGTTAACAAAGCAACAATTGAAAGATTACCGTTGGGTAACATCACCTTTATTTTTTATTACGGCTGAAATTCTTTGGGGCATAGTGTTAACCAAGTTTTGGCAAACATTTGGTGTAAAACAATCCCATATTTCGAATTGGGCCTCATCACTCCATTGTATTGCACACCATTGTTGAGGTGTCCATTGTCTATGTTCTTTAGCCTATCTAAGCCGATTTTTCTTTTGAAGTGGAGTTAATAGTGGCTTTTCTTTGGCCTATAAACAAGTTGTGCAACTTTAGGGTTTTTACTTCACTTTTTTTATAAGAAAACTTACCTTCGATCCTTTAGCCGTTACCATTTCTGATTATCATCACAATTGCCAGTTTAGCATGAATGTGATCTCTGTTTCATATTTTAGAAATTTATTTATTTACAAAAATAAAAATCGTATTGAAAATTTATGTTCACTAATCAGTTGAAAATGTTATATTTATATTCATAACTAAGCTACTCTAATTAAGTGGGATCTGGAAGACTCCAAAACTGTCTTGAAGCGCCATCTAGTGATAATAATTTAAGCTAATTTCATTTCGTTATATTCACTGTGAAGATCTCCACTTTGTTATACGTTAGCTTCATTTCTTTGCGGATAGATGGTATCATAGTGATCGATTTTCTAAAACTATAGTTTAATCACTGAATCAAAGCAGCTACGTCACAACGTCAAATAAAGACAGTGACGTGGATTCAAGAAAATCAAAGATTTTTCGAAAAAGAAAAGTGATAAGAACAAAAGTAATGACTCGTTTCATTCTTCCATAAAAGGGGAATATTCATATACAATTTCAGAGCTGTATGTACTTATAAAAGAACGAAAATAAACCACAAATAAAGAACGGCCGTTGGCGTCACACACAGAAAACCGTTACCAACATAAATGTACCCGGGAAATTCAAACTATACGTACCATTTAGGATCTATTTTGCATTAAGGTTGGTATTCAAATTTACTAGATATGACGTGATTGCTTTGTTTCAGCGAATAAACTATACAAAGCAATGTCATCCTTCGCATAGTAATGAAATGGAGAGATTTTAACATATTCGCGGATATTTAAGACAGTCGATCTCAAAAAAATGTGTACGTGTTGTATTAATGTAAAACGAAACAAGATTTATTTCTATAATAAATTTTATTCATACAAATATACTTATGTACATCTTTAATTTTGGTTGGAATACATTGGTAAAATATATATTTCGAGATTTTTCAAATCGTAAACAATATAAAAACCTTACGTTATTTAGAATATTCAACAAATGGCAGTGTTTAAACAATTAGAGAAGCTTTGCAAATGTGTCCTAAAAAAATGTTGATAGAGAAAATGAGTCAAATAGTTGAGAGAAACATTCGTTCAAACCTTGGTCCGTGCAAAAATTTATTAGATACAAAAAATCTCATAAATTGTGTTCTATTGAAGAGAAGATAAAATCTGCATTGAGTTTTTTCTTAATCGTGTTGGCCAAGGCTTAAACAAATGCCTGTCAAATAATTTCAGCGTTGACTAGATCTAAATTACGGAAGGAATGTGAAGAGAAACTACGATGTGTGAAAAAAAAATGCAAAATCTTGAAACAACTGCTTAGAAACGAAGAACACATATAAATTACTATAGAAATATAGATAGCACCATTTTTTATTACAAAAATATTTTTTATCTCAGTGATACCTATTATTACGCTATTAAAAAATCACAAAGTATTAAAAAATGTGAGATGTCACATTGATTTCGGTTGGGTAGCTAGGCAAATATAGATTTTAGACTTTTTTTGATGAATCTTCTCCAACTTTTTGCTTAAAACTTCTTTATATATGGCAATAAACAGTTCCAACCGAAACCAATGTCCGTTATATGCCATCGTTTTTAGTTTTTTGTTACTTTTATGTGGCACCGACTTATACAACTTATACACTATTCTATACAATTTTACATGCATTTCTTGTTATACATTTTTCATGGCACAGCGTCGTTAAAAAGCTAACTATACATTCTTTCACCATGGTCTGGTAGCACCTTACCGTCTAAGATTCTCGACTTTTTGAAGAAAAACTCGATCAAAACGAAAGGAAACGACGTAGCTATCACGAATAAAGGTACCGGACCATAAAAAGGAACACCCAGAACGAACACATCAATGTGTTTTTATACTAGTATTGCAAATAAATATGGTTTTGGTCACAAAAGTGAATGGTGGCATGGAGAGCGATTTATTGCAAAAATGGTGGATGCACCATATTTTGAAATTGAATATAAAGTGAGACTGAAACTTTGTATGAATTCGACCATTCGTGCTAGATGACCAAAAAAAAACACCGATATTCCCGAAACGCGTCGCGGTTACAAAAATTTGTCTCTTAAGGTACATATAATTTTCTATAATTTCTTAACTTAAGATTCACAAAATAGTATTCTAATTGAATTAAAAGCGCCTTAGTAGAATGTTCGTCGATTAACAATACAGCATGTCAAGGTTAAATTTTTCGAAATCATTTGTTTTTGTTGATAAGAAAAAAACACGGAATTAGCTATTTGACAAGATCTTGGACATTTAGTTACAAAAAAGGTGGATGCGATCTCAAGGTACATTCACCTTTTTTTTACATATAATATAGAATTCGACTTATATAACCAAAAAAATCACCGATATTTTCTACACGAGTCGCTTGCATATCGAAGGTAAAAAAAATTGGGATATTTTGGGAGGAGATCCGTTGATAAGAAGTAAATACGGATTTGGCTATTTGACAAAATGTTTGACATTCAGTTAAAAAAAAGGTGGATGCGATCCCAAGGTACATTCACCATTTTTTAAAATATAATTAGAAGTGGTACTGAATTTTTCTATGAATTCGAGGTATATGACCAAAAAAATCACCGCTATTCCCAAGACGCGTCGCTTGCATATCGAAGGTAAAAAAATGTCTCTTGAGGTAAATATAATTTTCTATAATTTCATAACTTAAGATCCTGAAAATTATATTCAAATTGAGCTAAAAACGCCCTAATAGAACGTCGATCGATTGGGATACAGAACGCCAAGATTAAATTTTCGAAATCGTCATTTTTTTGTGATATCGATATAAGAACTGCAAAAGTAGGGATTCCAAAGATTGTATTCAATTTTTAAATGGTGGTACCTAGTACCTATCTTGCCAATACCGTTCATTTTTTCAAAAATATGAGATAGTAAATAATTTATGTTAAAGAGGCAGGGGCGTATCTAAAGAAGATTTTTTAGGGATCCTGCAAATTGAAAAACATCCGAATCTTTTTTAAAGTCGGATATTTTGGAGGGGGAGTCCGGATCCGCTACAATAGCTCCCTTGATCCGCCACTGGAAAACGGTATTTTATATGTATTTATACCGATTAAAGAAATGTTTTTGATTGCATTCGAACGTTGATAAGAAATTAATACGGATTTGGCTATTTGACAAAATTTTGGACATATTTTAAAGTTCATTATGTGATACTTAGGTATTTTTTTAAATTTGGTATCATCATTCTTGTTGGATGACCAAAAAAACACCGATATTCTAATAGCGCCTCTTTATCAAAAGTTAGAAAAGTTTGACACTTGAGGTAAATGTAATTTTTTACAATTTTCTTAGGATTCTAGATTTCGTAACCTCAATCTCGTGAAAATTGTATTTAATAATATGCCTTAGTAGAATGTTGATCATTTGAGATATAAACAAATTGCATTCAATTTTTCAATGCAATATAAATGAGGCACCAGCTATGTCTATTATTACTGCTATTTGGTACGGTTTTCGTGCCAGGATCGTTTCATTTTTTTAAAATGCGAGACCGTAAATAATTTCAAATGATAGGAGAAGAGGGATCTAGAAAATATTTTATGGTAAAAAAATTGAAATTACCCGCTCATGCTTAGGAAGATGGAAGTGGGAAGGGGTTGTCTGCAAATTGGAAGGGGAACGGTTCGGACTCCCCGGAACAACCCCCCTTCGGGATCCGCCACTGGAAACTGGTATTTTATTTTTATCTATATCGATTAAATATTTGAAATAATTGCATTCAATCGTTATATTGCACAGGCTGTCTTAAAGTTCGTCAATTGAGTAGACTGGTAAGAAATAAACGCGGATTTGGCTATTTGAGAATATTTTTGGCAAAGTTTCTTGGGTATATATTTTGATGAATAAATTAATAAAAAGTCTCTAATAAGAATTTTGAAGAATAATATATTAGAACTATAGACTGTGGTTTGCATACTATGCTGAGAATCTTATAGATCATAAATATGATAAAAACAGTTTTTCAGTGTATTTTAGCAAAAATCAAAACAAACATACCGAAAGACAATCGAACGTTCAGAAAGCGTTTCAGGAATACAAAAGCGTTAGAATCGTCTACGTGTTCCTGATGCACACTTGGCACCTGCTTATCCTGTCTCTGACATTTCCCGCTTTCAACGTCTGTTTCTGCGGCTTCTGGAACTGCTGGTGGCTCTCGATCGTGGCGAGCCAGAAGGAGAACGTATTCGCGAAATAGTGGCACGTGCCTTGACCTCCGTTGCACTCTATGAAAGGCGTAGCGCGGAAGTCTTCCAGGCAGGAGCCGGGGCTGCTCAGCGATTGTCCGCCGCCTTCAGCACCGGCAGCTGTGTGCTGGAAAAAAAACACGATTGAAATAAGAACCCTAGAGAAAGACACTGGAAATTCTTCTAGATGAGGACGTCGATTACCCACCCACAGGGACGCGTGAAAGCTCCTTGAGTAGATGAGACTCGGTAAAAGTGACCTTTTTGCTATAGCACTTGCTTTCATCATCAACATCTCATTATGCCGAAAATGCCTTACCATAACAAAACTGTATCCGATCCATAATGAGCTCCATCCTTCTGGACATTCCGGTAAAGCAAGTGCTTGACTGTGGACCGCGATCACATTCGCAGGTGCTTCACATACCACACACCTAGAGATGTACTCTTGGATTTGATACTCTTCTACTGGCATCATCGGAATGGCTGCGTTCGTCGATAACCAATAGGATTTGTCGTTCCTGAATAAGACAATCATAAATGTTTCAAGAGCATCATTATTTCAAAAATATAAAAAACAAATTACTTGTATAGAGTTTCTCATAATCCCAAAAAACAATAAATAAATAAAATGTGTATAACATCATAATTGTTCCCCATTTTTTATATTGTTCAACAATTTTGTTTATAGCAAATGACAATATATTTTAAAAATTACAATTTCTACAGAACAAATCTATGAGAATCATTCAGATTATGTCTGTTAGAAGAACTATAGTGGTGGAATGTAGAAAATATAGATATTATACAGGGTGTAAACGTTATGGTAGTCAAAAAGTTCATATGACCCATGGTCCAAAAGTCAATAGATTTTTCTCTAAATGGCTTTATAGTTTACAACTTTACGAGCACCTTCCCACTTCAGTTGGCCCAACTATTGAAATCTTAGTTTTTTCTTATCAAATACAACCAACTGAAATGGGAAGGGGCTCGCATGTATTTAATAAATTGAACAATAACATTAGACTGTTCGAATTTGAGAATGTTTAAGGTGAAATTGAATAATTACCTTACGAATACCCAAAATGCCTAATGATGCAAGTTGAATACACAAGAATGTATAATTACAAAAAATTGATTCAAAAAATGTAAAACGAATACTTATACAGGGTGTCTGCTAAAGGTTGGGAAATCTCGAAACTATACTAAGTGACATATAAATTCGAACACCCAGTTTAAATGGTTTTATTTTATTAAAAGTTGGTGAATGTATTTATCTTACTGTAAATAACAAGTGAAAAAATTTTCAGCCTTATCAGTTGGACATTCCGGTTTTTATACTGCTTTTTTTTAATTCACTAACGCTCTAAAAATGAATATTTCAGCCGCAGTAAAGAATCAACGTTGGCGAATTTTAGTTCTTGACATCCTTTACGATCGGTTACGATGCCTAGAGTACGGAGGCCTGTACGATTTCGTCAATTTAGTGAGTTTGATAGGGGCCGTATAGTGGGACTTCGGGAAGCTGGACTTTCTTTTCGGGCAATTGCAGTTAGAGTGCAAAGAAGTGTAGACACTGTGGTTAGGTGTTGTCAGGCATGGCTTCGAGAAGGCCGTACGCAAAGAGCAAGGGGCACTGGACGCCGCCGTAGAACAACAGACCGTGAAGATCGCCGCCTAAGATTATTGGCCTTAAGGGACCGTTTCTCCACTACCAGGTCCATTGCAAATGAATGGTTTGCAGAACACGGAAGACCTATTGGCATGCGAAGTGTTTACCGACGAATGAGAAGTTTTGGCTTGTTTTCATACCGGCGACACTGGGTTCTCCCTTTAACTCGAGAACACCGACGTAATCGCCTTGAGTGGTGCAGACAACGGTCACTCTGGGATCAGGAATGGAACAGTATTGTCTTTAGTGACGAGTCTCGATTTTGTTTAGGCATGCACGATGGTCGTGCCAGGGTTAGAAGGCGACGTGGTGAAAGGAGGAATCCACAGTTTTTTGTTGAAAGACATGTTCATCACACTGTTGGAGTTATGGTTTGGGGTGCTATAGCTTATGGTTCCAGGTCACCTTTAATCTTCATCAGAGGTAACATGAACGCGCAGCGTTATATCCACGAAGTTCTAGAACCCCATCTTTTACCCTATCTTGACACCCTGGCAGATCCAACTTTCCAACAAGATAATGCCCGACCACATGTTGCAAGAGTCACAATAGACTTCTTTCAACATAATGATGTCACATTGTTATCATAGCCACCAAGATCTCCCGACTTATCCCCAATTGAGCACGTGTGGGATATGATGGGTAGGAGATTGCTCAATTTGCAACGTCCTCGTCAGACTCTAGAAGCACTTCGAGAGGCGTTGGTGGTTGCCTGGAATGAGATACCACAGGAGGACATTGACCACCTGATCAGAAGCATGCCTAGGCGCGTTGGAGAATGCGTAGCACATCAGGGTGCATCCACACATTATTAAAGGTTAAAGAGCTTTAAAGCAGTGCAATCATTTTGAAATTTTTATCATTTACTTATTATGCTTCATTGAGTACTTATACAAAATTTTATTAAAATAAAACCATTTAAACTGGGTGTTCGGATTTATGTGTCACTTAGTATATATAATAATATTGTAGCATTGATCCTGAATAAATCCTCAACAAACAAATAAAATCGTGTTTTTATCTTTTAGCATTTATTGAAGTAACGCTAAAAGTAAATAGGTCCCAAAATAAACTATATAGCATTTTATAATTACGTCAAATCAAGAAGATGCCTAACCCTATACCGTATTTGAAAATTTGTACAGAATTTTCATCGTCATAGTCATGTTTTCCTTTTAAAGAAAATTGGCCAACCCGAACTTTATGTTCATACTTTGATTCAAATACAGATACCTTTCTTCTAATAAAGGCTGAACCGTTATCGATCAGAAAAATAAAAGTCTGTAAAGAGTAAAAGTAAAACATATTTGAAAGAGCAAGGCTTATACTTTGAGATAGTGCATATTGTTTGTTGTAAAAAAAATAATTTGCCATGCTAGACAAACTCAAGTATCGGCAAACATCGATATATTTGCATATTTAGATGATCTGGACCCCGGATTCGGACACATCAAAAACCATCGAGACAGTATATTCTGGTTTCTTGGTAAATACTTTTGTTGAACAAAAACAAATCGTAATTGGTTCTGAAAAGGAAAAAACATTTTTCTTTTCAGAACGCGCTGTATAGCTGTAAACATAACTGTTTGGCAGTGCTTTGCTATATACAGGGTGTCCGCAAAGTTGTGGTTTTCCTTTACACGACGTGTAGATGTTGAAAACATAAACAATTTTTCTTAGTACCATATACACCAATGCCTTAAGGGAACCGAGATAAAGGACTCTGCAACATCAAAAATATCTGAATACCGTCCTGTAGCCGCGACATCCCCGAGTGGTACTAGGACACTAACTCAACCCGACGACAGAACTGGGTCGGGGTCAGTGTGTCAGGTCAGTATGCAACCTTCAACCGACGGTTACGGTCACGCGTGTAGAGGTAATCGCGTAGACGAGAATCCCTCAACAAGCACTAAAGACGTGGCTAGAGAAGTGCAAGTATCAAAAACTAAAGTGTGGCAAACGCTGCGTGAAGAGGGGCTGTATCCGTTTCACGTCCAACATGTACAAGCCCTTCAACCTGACGATTTTCCAGCAAGAGTGCGGTTTTGTGAGTGGTTGTTGCATCAACATGACAATAATCCGGACTTTTGAAGTGCATATTGGTGACAGACGAATCTACGTTCACGCGTAATGGGGTTAATAACTTTCGCAACACTCATGTTTGGTCAGTAGAAAATCCGCACGCTGTCCGTCGGGCCCATCTTCAACAAACATTTTCGGTGAATGTTTGGGCTGGCATGGTCATTGGACCATTTATTCTTCCAAATCGATTGGATGTGTTGCAATACCTAGACTTTTTACACAACATTTTGCCTTCCTTGTTTGCCTGCGTCTGCTCGGTAGCGCATCAGCTGATTTCATTTTCTGTTGGAGCGGTATGATTTCGGGCAGAGACGTACTTAGCCCTTTTCGTCAACTGGAGAGTGAGTACTTTTTCCTTTATTTTTTTTTACTTGGTCGCCCTCGTTTCACTACACATTACCTTTGTTATTTCAAGGATAGTTGTTTCTGAAAAGGAAAACCCCAACTATGCGGATACCCTGTATATATATCCTCATTTTCCCCACAGGCAATTAAATCAAATATTTATTGGTAAAATATGTGATGGGATCCACTGAGGCCGCTGAACTTACCTGCTAGCATAGTTGCAGACGTTATTAACATCACAGAAAACGAACGGCATAGTGGAGAACTTCCTGACACAGGATCCGGCAAGTCCCAAGTCCTGAGCGTGCGCTTTTTCGTTTCCTTCCACGTAGAGTAGAGAATAACCGTCCCAGAGTTTGATGTGTCCGCTTTCACAAGTCGGGATCTCCGTCGTCTGGCTGTGACGAACCTGAAAAATTACAATATTGTAATGCCCTCGTAGCTAGAACTACATTGACCAAAAGATCCGCAACGCTTCAGAAGGTGTCGACGGTTAGGCAACAAGAGTTGCGTCTTCGTGCAATAAGAGCGGCAAGCATTTGCTGCTATCGAGAAGTCTGGATCGACATCTAGATAATTTCTATGGAGCGCTGTTCATCAATGAAAGTGAAATATCCAGAGGTCGGAAGCAGTCACAGTCACAGTCGAGTCAACGGCTAATACGGATTAGATAGTCCAGTCGACATGATTACAAATTTGTCAAACATTAGTGTTGGAGTAATGAATTATACTATGAACATCAGAAGCGGTGTTTTTCTTCCAATATACGGGGTGTTAGGGAAAATCATATTCGTAATTTTAAGAGGGGATTCCTTACATTATTCTAAACAAAAAAGTTCATTATAACCTATGTCGAAAATCAACCGTTTCGGAGGAAAACAGTGCTGAACTTATTTCGTTTTAGTCATGAAATAAATTAATTTTGCAGCTTAATAATTTAAATTCTTATGCCTAATAGCGTAAAATGTATCAATACATCTATTTATTAATTAACTGTGTCTAACAAAATAATTTTCTTGCTTATTAAATACAATTTTCCGAAGAAAAACAGACAAACAAAATCCCTCACACGACTGGCAACGTCGTACTCCGCTTTCACCGCATGTATCATCGCGTGTTGTTGTGATTACTAATACATTTAACTGTAACTTTATGTGATTTATGGATGTTGATTTTTTCTTTTTTCGTGCATTGCATCGTTTCAAATAAGTGGGAATTGGTGGTGTGTATCAGCACGTAAAACCTTTCATTCTTTTTAAATAAATGTACTTATACTGAAAGCGTTATTAACTAAAAAATATTAGCTACAAGAAATTGTTATAATGAACTCTTTTGCTTGGAATAATGCAAGGAATCGCTTCTTAAAGTTACGAATATTCTTTCCCTAACACCCTGTATACTATTTTGTACGTCTATACCCAACAAATGGAACCCCTGATGAGTTCTTAAGAAAACTCGTTTCATCGTTTGTCGTTGAATTGAAATCTGTCGACCTTGGTTGTGCTCAGAAATCAGTCAAAGTCAAACAGATAGAAAAGGAGAAAGGATGAAGAAAGATACAGAGCAAAGAGTAAAAAATGTTGCTATTAATAATAGACTGGGTAGACGAAGCGTTAATATTAAAAAGACGTATTTTTACAGATATTGTAGAAAATACTCCACGATGTTAATATTTTTTTGTTATTTGACAATTTCTTACCAGCAGTGTTCCTGTAAGATAATCTGGAGCGTAATCACACGGCAGTCCAGGTTCTCCCTTAGGCCCTACATCGCCAAAGGCTCCTTCTAACCCGATTTCACCCTGTATACCGCGTTCTCCCTGCTTGCCAGGCAGACCCGGGATGCCCGGTACGCCTGGGAGGCCAGTGTCGCCTTTAAGTCCCATCGGTCCAGGAGTGCCCGGGAGACCGTCAAGACCTGCTGGACCAGCGGGTCCTGGAAGGCCTGGCGCTCCGGGATTGCCTCGATCGCCCTTAGGGCCCGGGAAACCTGGTGGAGCGGCCTCGCCTTTCTGACCCTTCATACCTACAAAATAAAAGATACAATGAGAAGAAGAGTATCAAACTTGCTCGAAAAACTGCTATCCATTTTCATTCGGGCACCCTAGATTGGGTTTTGTAGAATGTCAGGAAATTCTGTATACGAACCCAGTGTGCCCGGTGTTCCCGGTATTCCCGACAATCCAGCGTCTCCCTTAAGTCCTGCGAGTCCCGGGGGTCCAAGTCTTCCTGGTATTCCATCGAATCCTCTGTCTCCTTTGTCGCCCTTTGAGCCGGGAACACCAGCCAATCCGGTCAAACCTCGGTCTCCTTTCTCGCCCGGGGCGCCTATCAAACCTGGAGGACCTCGGTCACCCTGAAAGAATGACCGAATAAATCAAGTGTTCTTCATCGCTATAGAAAACTTTTATTGAATTAGATCCAGTAGGGACAACAAGGGCGCTAGTCAGTTTTTAACAGAGGCACCAGTGAATTGCTGAATGATTCTCGGAAAACTTCACATATAGCCTGAGTAATCTCCAGACCAGAATATCAGCGGGTTTCCTTACTGCTATATTACTTTATATATCTTGTAAGAAACGTGAAATTAAGTCAGTAACAAAAAATGTCCTTGATGTCATCAAATCAATATTCATAAAAAAATGTATACAAACCTCTTACTTCAATTTACAACACCTCCTAAGAACGCTAGGAAAAAGTCCTCCATTAAATCTATTTCTAAAAGTGGAGGCAGGTACATATCAGACAATTACAGGGCTAGCAGCAGCCAGTGCATACTCTCGAAGACCTTCGAATGGCTTATTTATAACTAAATATACTAAGTAATAAATAAATCGTACCTTTTCTCCTAGGTACCCTGGCGCGCCTTCCATTCCCGGCAGTCCCGGGGGTCCGACAGGTCCCATGGGTCCCGGAGCTCCGTCCAGTCCCCTATCGCCCTTCGGTCCTTGAGGCCCCAGAGGCCCTGGAGGTCCAGGTGGTCCCATCCTACCCGGCAGCCCTTGAAGACCGAGTTCTCCTTTTTCGCCTTGCCTTCCGTCCAAACCGATGCGTCCGTTTTTGCCCGGTAGACCTGGAAGACCCTTTTCACCCTTTATCGTCAGACCGGGAATGCCTTCTCTGCCTGCTGGACCTCTATCGCCTAAAAAAAAGGGGGATTGGAGTAGAATGTTTTTATTCGGTCCTGCCCTATTCATTAAACTTTGAAATATTGACACAAATTTGCTCTTAGCTGCTACAGATCCTAAGAATGTACTCGTATATGTATATTAAATTATAGGCTAATTCTTAATGAAACTAAGACTTGTGCTATGTTATTTCACTGTAGAGCAATTTTTCAAAATTTAATTTGTTTTAATTGTAAAGCAAATACACTATCTGAGAATACTAGACTTCTTGGTATTGAATTACATAGTTATTTAAGAAATAAGCTGAATAAGGTACATATTATGTTAGTGTATAAGAATTGTTGCTGAGTATTTGAATAGAAAAACTTTGACGGACTTTATATGAATCAAAGTATCATCAGCGAAATATTGAATTTTGCTTTTTTTGTCTAAGGTAGGTAAATCGTTTACGTATAAAATAAAAAGAAGTGGTCCCAGGATATTACCCTGTGGAATATCTAACGTATTTTCAATTTTTGATGAAATATTGTAACTTGCATCCACTCAGACAAATGATTTTTAAACCAGTTTAAAAACATTTTCTTATACCTATACCACATGCCATCAATTTACCTAACAAAATATCTCTATCCCTTTTTTAGATAGTAGTAAAACTTTCAAGAGGTCAATCTACAAAAAAAATGTACACGCTACCCTTGAAATTTTTAACATCAAGCATGTCGCATCAATATGTTAAAAATCCCGCATGTACTACTCACCTTTGGCTCCAGGTATTCCCGATGGCCCAATCTGTCCTTTGACCCCTGGGAAGCCGACATCTCCCTTCTCGCCCATCAAACCGATCTGTCCCTGGAACCCTCTGTCTCCTTTCTCTCCTTGTCTTCCTTGTGCCCCGAACGGTCCCATTTCACCCTTGTCACCCTTGATCTGCACCAACGGGCCTGGTACGCCTCGATCTCCTAGATCGCCTTTAAGACCCGGATACCCTATCAAACCTGGCGGACCTGATGGTCCTCGATCTCCTTTAGCACCGTCGTAACCATTCAAACCCGGCATTCCTTTGTCGCCCTTTGCACCTGGAATTTATTTATACTTCAGCGTCTCAAATTATGCAGTCTTCGTTTCTTTCACGGTTTCTTTATATGGGTTATATATCCTATGTATAAAATTGACAGTTTTTTATTCAACAAAACTTTCATTATTTTGTCCATTATCTTGACACAAAGACACATAAACTTATCTTCTAAACAAAAAAACATTTTTTTACATACATTAAAAAACGATAAGATTATTTTTCTGAAAATACGGTGAATATTGTAACTTCAAATATCAATTGAATTCTCATGTGTCTGCTATCTAAACGAAAAATCGTTTCGGTCCACGAATGTGAGAGTTTCTTGTTTATATCTGCCTAATATTAAATTATAACATAAAAATGATTCGATATATACCTGGATATCCTGGTGATCCCGGATAACCTAGGTCTCCCTTTAATCCAGGAAGCCCGTCTTTGCCGTCCATTCCAGGATTTCCCGGTTGACCGGGGAAGCCTGAGTCTCCTTTGGGTCCCGGGAAGCCGTACGGTCCTACGTCTCCTTTTTCTCCATCGCGGCCTAGCAGTCCGTCCAAACCTGGAGGGCCGATGTCGCCTTTGAAGCCTGGTGTGCCTGGAATGCTTCTGCCTGGTGGCCCAGCGTCACCTGCAAAGATCAAAATCTCGTTAAATAGAATAGTTGATGGTTGTTGAGGTTTGATCTATAGTTTTCCAACACTTAGTAATCGCAAAGTCCTCCTGCTCTTCTGAATTCTCTGTGCTACAACTTAAAAATCCTTCCTCTCCCATCTCTCTATATATTTATCTGTTTATGTATATGACCGGTGTAAGCACCAATAAAAAAATTTCTACATATTTTGATACAAAAAAATGCTCTCGTGCCACTAACCTTTTCGTCCCGGTGGTCCTTGCGCTCCCGGTAGTCCTTCTTGACCTCGAAGTCCCGGTATTCCGGGTTCTCCCTTCTGCCCCTTTTCAGCAGCGCTTCCAGGTTCTCCTTTGTGACCTGGCGTTCCGGGGATTCCAGGCATTCCTTTTAGTCCAGACAAACCCGGAGGGCCTAACAACAAATTATAATGTTATTAGGACTTTTTAACTAAGGAGGGCAGGACTATAAAGTGGCATTTTGTACTTACCCGGCAATCCCGGTGGTCCGAACGGTCCTTGCATTCCCTTGTCCCCTGACAGGCCCATCTCTCCCGGCATACCGATCAATCCCTGGGGTCCCGGGGGTCCCCTGATGCCCATCTCTCCCTTCTCTCCAGGTGCCCCTTGCATTCCATCCATTCCCGGTGCTCCCGGTGTGCCCGGTCGCCCCACAGCGCCCTTGAATCCTTTAAGGCCCGGGAATCCTGAGATTCCATGGTCGCCTTTTTCGCCTGGAAAGCCTGCCAAACCTTGTCTGCCTGGTTCGCCTCTTCGACCTGGTTCGCCTTTAGGGCCGTCCAAACCTGGCCTGCCCGGGATACCTGAGGAATAAAAAAATGGCGTCGAGTAGGTTGACTCAATTCTGGATAAATATCTTTAAATTTACCTTCGATTCCAGGTGGTCCTAGCGGTCCAGGCTCTCCCTTAGGTCCTTGAGGTCCTGGCAATCCGTTCAATCCCGGCTCGCCTACGTCTCCTTTTTCTCCGGGTAACCCAGACAGGCCGTCGTTGCCAGGTCTTCCAGTTTTTCCAGGAGGTCCGGGGATTCCCTTTTCTCCTTTGAAGCCGTACGGACCAGGTGGTCCTGGAGGTCCTACTTGCGGAATACCGGCATCTCCTGTGGTCATTAAAATAGAATATAGTTGATGTTTTCCAATATACTATACAAAAAGATTATTATCCTCACGATGTATTTAAAAAAAGCGTACCCTTAGTTCCTTTTCCACCCATCAATCCAGGCAATCCAGACGCTCCGTCTCTTCCAGGTTCCCCAGGAAAGCCCATGGGTCCGATATCCCCCTTGTCACCTCTTGGTCCTGGAAGTCCCCTGTTTCCAACGGGACCAGGTGGACCTTCTTGGCCTGGAGATCCTCTAGGTCCACTGTTTCCTTGGTCTCCCTTTTCGCCTCTATCTCCAGGGGATCCTGGGAATCCCATATCGCCCTTCTGTCCTTGAGGTCCTTGCTGTCCTTTCTGCGTCAATGGCGCCACGCATCTTCCTTGTTCTCCCTTAGGGCCCATCAGCCCAGGGAACCCTGCCATGCCTTTGTCACCTTTGGGACCTGTGTAGCCGGGTTCACCCTACGGAATCAATAAATACATAAATATATCGGGCGTTTAGGAGTTCATGGCCGCCTATTGTCATGAACTGTTGTATCGACTCTCAGTTATACAAACCTTAAAGCTGTCTCCCTTTTGTCCTTTGACGCCTGGGAACCCTGGTTGCCCAGGTTTTCCGCCCTGTCCTGGGAATCCGTCGTATCCTTTTTGTCCTTTTTCTCCTGGGAATCCATGCAAACCTTGGTCGCCCTTAGGTCCTGCAGGTCCCGGCAGTCCCTTAGGTCCTGGTGGTCCGTACGGTCCTCTGTCTCCTTTGTCACCCTTTTCGCCTCTGATTTGATCCACGCTAACAACAGCTGGTTTTCCCGGTTGGCCAGGTATGCCTGGGAAACCGTCTTTGCCTGGTTTGCCCTAAGGGATAGATTCGAAACATTTGAAAATTTTATTTAAAAAAAATACTGATTGCGATGTGAAAAAATGCTGAAACTCAATCAGATTTTCCAAGCAGAAATAGTGAACGCGATTTAATTTTCGAAAAATGATGAATTCGAACTGGTTCAAAAAATGGCGGATACGTTCTAATTTCAGGAATAATATCAATATTCGATTAGTCCTTTGAAAAAATGGTAAACTGCCATTTGATTTTTACCGGTTTTCCTGGGGGTCCCGCCAATCCCGGTTGACCATCGAATCCGGCCGGTCCCATGTACCCTGGCGTGCCCGGAGGTCCGCGGGGTCCGATGGGTCCATCTCTTCCATCCATCCCTCTGTCTCCTTTATCTCCTCTTGAGCCTGGCACACAATCGATGCACCTGCCTCCGATGTCTCCCTTCTCGCCAGGGATGCCCGGGGACCCCGGGATGCCCGGTCGTCCTGCGTTGCCTTTCTCGCCTGCGGGTCCGATGGGGCCCGGTCGGCCGGGGACGCCGTTCAATGCGTCGCCGGGGGATCCTCGAAGTCCCATGAAGCCTTTTTCTCCCTTTTGTCCCTTAAGGCCATCTCGACCAGGTTGACCATCTTCTCCTTTAGGTCCCTAAAAAAATGTCAATATGGTTAGCTTAAGTTAAGTTTGCGCATTATGGGAAATTTCAGGAATTACTATGAATTCTGGGGAATTAAAGTGAATTACGTATTGAAGGAATTCCCAACATTTTTATAGCAAAAACTACTCTAATGACCTGTAGGTTTAACAAAATGTATGAAATGCGTTTTAAAATGAGGAATTCAATAAATAGACCAGGAATATTAAAATTTTCTTGCGGAAAAATACAAGCTGCAATTTGCTAGTAGAAAGAGAACTAGCCATATCAGTTTTTATTACACAAGCAGTCGCTGACAGGAATAATTCACATCGATTTTTTGTAAAGCTCAATGGTAAATTACAAGGAACTTTTGGGAGTTATGGAGAATTGTTAGGAAATTAGGGGAATTATTGGAGAATTATGTTACATTTCAAGGAGTTATTGGAGGAATTATTGAGGTGGAGATTTTTGGTAACAACAATAACTGACTAACCGTACGATGTTACTTATAGATCATGTAAACTTCATTTTTCTCACCATTATCGATAGTCCTTTCTCTCCAGTCAATCCTCTAGGTCCCTGGGGTCCGGGGGGTCCTGGGAACCCTCTTGGACCATCGCTTCCTGGGAACCCAATCGATCCCGCTTCTCCAGCTTCACCTTTCTCACCTGGTGCTCCTTCCGGTCCAGGAGTGCCTGGGATGCCAGGACCCCCTGGAGGTCCCATCAAGCCCCTGGGTCCTGGTTCGCCAGGGAAGCCGTCCATACCTTTGGGTCCTGGTAAGCAATCAGATTTTAGAACAATTTTGGCAAACGTTTTTAGGTATATTATAAATAATTTTAAGTTACCTTTGTCAATAAGAACCATGTGATTATGTAGAGGATAAAGCATGTTTGTCTATCTATTTTTACCTTGCGGTCCCGGATATCCTCTGGGTCCCATGGGTCCAGGCGGTCCTGGGAATCCTTTTCCTCCACCGGGGGGTCCTGGAGGTCCCGGTAAGCCTACGGATCCTGCAGGTCCGTCCCTTCCCGCCTCTCCTTTCAAGCCTGGTCTTCCTGGAAGGCCAGGAATACCTTCTTGGCCTCGGTCACCTTTTTGACCCGCTGGTCCTGGGGGCCCCGGGAAACCATCTCTACCCTAAACAGGAAATAGTCATATTAAAGACCCTTGTAGCTATCTGGTCTTAAAAATAAATATAAAACGGTTCTTTTGGAGAATCAGTTGGTTGCTATTTGATTTAAAAGTGTTTGATCTTTAAATATATAAATAAACGTGTTCTCACCCTAGGTCCTGGGGGTCCGACTAATCCTTTTTCTCCCTTCATTCCAACGGATCCCGGAATGCCGTAGTCTCCATCGGTCCCTCTCTCACCCTTCTGTCCTGGGAATCCTATGTCGCCTTTGTCTCCTGGCATGCCCTTATCGCCAGGGGCCCCTACTTGAGCTGTCTCGTTGATATGCTGTCCGCTGTCTGCAGGTTCGCCCTTTTGACCCCTGGGTCCCTCTTGACCTTTGTCGCCTTTCTCGCCGGTTTTTCCGATACCTGGACTGCCCTTCTGGCCTTTGGGGCCTGGAGGACCGCGGGGACCCTGAAAAAAAGTTCATTTGATCTCGAATCTTTTGATCGTGACGTATTCAAATATCTATTCCTAATCATAAAAGCAAACATTCCATTGTGCGCAGATGATAGCAAGCTATTCGGAAACCCTGTATTACGAAAGGTCAAAATTAAAAAGGACATACTCGCCAGCAAGAAGTGGTCCAGCGTAAAAAAAGACTTTTACACCTGCTGTTGAAGTGCTACTGATAATAATGATATAAGATGCACCCCTACCGGTAATCCAGATTCTCCGATCGGTCCAGAATACCCTCGAGGCCCTTGCGGTCCCGAGTTTCCTGGAGGTCCAGTGACTCCATCTCTTCCTGGTTCACCTTTCTGTCCTTTCAAGTTGATTTCACAACGCGCTGCCTCTCCTTTGGTGCCCTTGCCACCTGGCGCGCCTGGGAATCCCCTTGGACCGGGCTCGCCTGGGAACCCGTCGATTCCTGGGGGTCCCTGGACAGAAAATCACAAGTTGATAAGACTTTTTTTATTTTTCAGGTAAGGAAGCATACTTACGTCTGTACCGTTGCATCCGTCTTTCCCTGGCAGACCTGCGGACCCCGGGGCGCCCGGTGGTCCCTGTATCCCTCCGATGCCCGGATATCCTGGAATGCCTTGTCTTCCTCGTTCTCCCTTCGGTCCTCTAGGACCCATCGGCCCTTGATCGCCTTTGTCACCTTTGTCTCCCATCATTCCTTCCTCTCCTGGGTAACCTCGTACACCTTTTTCACCCGGATGTCCGGGAATACCCGCCATGCCCTATAAGAACAACATCCCTCAAAGTGCAAAGAACTTTGGCTCCTTTTCGAGCGCAAAAAACTTTGTCGCTCCCGAAACGCTTGTCCTAAGCGGTAAAGTAGTATTTTGCGCTTGCAAGCCAAAAGACACGTACCTGATCTCCTTTTTCCGCGAAACATTTCGGCACGCACCTGTCGGTGCCGTTCGAGGTGCTTTCGATGATATCATAGTTGTTAGCGTATGTTCTCCTATTGGCTACTTCGTAAGATGCGTTGTAGTATCCACCGTAACCATCGTATGGTACTCCGCCTTGCCTGCTCGCCGAACCTGCTCGAGAGACGGCGGAGTACGAAGAGTCCGGGTACTGACCACCTCTGGATACGGCCGAGGAACCATAGCTGCTCGACGATCCTGCGCTAGAGTGTGCTAGAAAACAAAAAGACTCATGAAACGAACATGCTTTGAGACTGAGTACCGAGACTTACACACTCTGAGGTAGGTATTTATAGTGACGACGACACTTCCTGTGATCTGGTCAACGCCCTGACATCTGTAGGTCCCAGCGTCTGATGGTTGAACATTTTCAATGTACAAAATGCCGCCCCTTTCGAAAGCGTTCCTTTGCAGAGTTGTGTTATCTCCTCTGGACCACCTGATCTCATATCTTATTCCTGGAAGCATAACATATTTATAATTCTGCTCTACAAAGCAATTCTTCTTCTCTCTATTTTCAATAAGAAGAGGTACTGCACTCTTATATCTTACCTTGATTGTCCTGGACTCTGCATCTAAGTTCGGCCCTAGCCCCGATCGTCGCCTCCACGATTTCATTATATGCTGAAAAAAGGAAAAAAAAACATATGAAATCGAGAAAATGTTATGCGAGTCTTTGATATTGAGTATAATAGCATTGTGTGTTATCCCTCTCTGGACGAGATAACAAAACACAGGCTGCAAAAATTATGTCTGCAAAAGGTTAAGAAATATCTAGCACAAAAAAGTTGTGATAAATTATTTACCGAAATAGTGCTGTAAGTGGTGCCCTCTAGAAGTTTGGCCATACAAAATAACGGATTTTTGTTTCTCGTACTAGAAGATCTCCCAATACCGAGTTTTATGCCAAAATCTGAAATATTTCTGAAGCAATAAGGAAAAGTAGAAAATAAAATTGTAACTTTAACACCCTGTATCTCGCAGACTATCAACTTTTGGACTAAGGTATGTTTAAGTCAATTCACATATCTTGGTATGTATCTCCAGTTTCGAGATTTCCCAACCATTCGCAGACACAGTGTATAAACAGTCCCAGAAGGTACGATCACGATTCTCACTCAATAATTTTCATGAATTGAAAATCCTTTCTAAAGAAAAAATGTACGCCGATGTGGTAGTTTACCGATTTGATATGCAATAATAGTCAAATTAAAACTGCACAATTTCACGTGTATCTGATCCCGTTGCAAAATTGCAAAACTACGCGTTTTTGCAACTCGACTACACAATTTTGGCGACAAAAATGCAGTGTAAACCTATTCGAATCCATTGTTGTATACAGAAAATACCAACCTGTCCTGGAGTCGTAAGCTCCTGCGGCACCGTACGTGGCTCCTGCAGTTCCGTAAGCCCCTTGGGCTCTTCCTGCGGCGTCGTACGACCCCCTAGACGCCTGTCCGCTCAAGGACACACTGCCATTGTAGCTACTGTATGGCGATGGAGCTCCAAGGTCTCCTCTAATGTTCGCTTGGCCTCCCGCGTACGATCCTGATGTGCCTAACGAACCTTGCACCGAATTGTATGCGCTGCCACTGCCTTGTTGGGACCTGTATGGCGGACCTGAGGGTTCAACCGAAAAAGTAGCGTCAGTATGTGTACGAACAAATTTTATCATTTTATTCATTTGACAAGAAATTGCATAAGTAAATATTGGACATGTTTCGCTATTCTCCGGTTTTTAGGGGTCGTATGGGTCAAAATGGAAGTAAAGACGCAACTTGCAATAACTTTGAAGCCATTTGTAATATACTAATCATTCGAATCATATGGGATCATATGGGACGTATGTTTTGGTCTCGTTACATAAGGTTATGAAATAGGCACTAAATGCTTCTTGTACAATAAACAAAACGAAACATTTGATCGTGACATCTGGACTTCGAAAATACCTCCAGTCACTCCGTAAGAGATCCTCCTGCTTCCATAGACGGCGGCACCCCTATGCTGCCCTCCTTGAGCATTTGGTGGAAGTGTCGTCTCCTTATCGTACTCCCCTGTGGTGTCATGCCCTTCCTGTCTGCTCTGGTAAGCCCTTCCACCTCCGAACCTTGTTTCGTGCCGTCTCGACGCTTCATAACGGTCAATGTGGGATGACGTGTCGTCGTCTACCGGATCTTGGTCTCCCCTAAAAGACACCGGCAATTACTTCAACAGTTACGAAATGTTGCGAGGAAGAAGCTCATGTTGACATAGAGCCTAGATGAAATACCTGCTCGTTTGTCACCCTTTGTTATATGCAGAGACAAAAAGTCGAGCGCCCTTTATGGAACCTTGAGGAACACCAAGCTTCATAACTGTTGACTCCTATAAGCCCGAAGCTGATATAGCACGTTTTGATTTCTATTTGACAAATTAATAATGGCGTAACAAATTGACGGCAGCGTCAGTAAAGCCGAAAAAAGAGTTTAAGTAACATTTCATGTAATACGAAAAAAAAACACAATACCTCAATTTCGGATTTTTTTACGATTACAATAATTCCTCGCCAGTGGCGCAGGAAGTAAAAGGGTCCGATTTCTATGAAGAATACCGAAGGTCAAGGGTTTTTCCGGAAGAGCCCTTTCTATCAGGAACTCTGTATTCCTTGCTAAAAATACTCACCGATCGTCGTATTCTGTGTCGTCAAAGTCCGATGGAAATCCGAATTCACGCTGGTTTGACGGTTGATTACTTTGAAATTGCTGAAACAAAAACAATTTCTATTGTAACTTTTTATCTTCAAAGCATTACTAAGGTAAACGTAACAATAGAACACCTCCAACTTATCCTTCTTTGTAGTACTGAGTCGTATACAATAAAGAACGATTTAAAATACGTGAAAAATCATTACGAAATATCTTTCACTCTGTCTGTATTGCAAATAAATGCTCGAAAATCCAACATTTTAAAACCATTAAGCCAATTTATTCTTCTTGCGGATTATTAGTTAATTGTACACGTCCATTAAGTTTTAAATTACATCTTGACACACTTTTTTCGAAAATCCGCTCGTCTTGGCCAGCGTTGGCAACTCAATTTCGCCGAGAAGAAATTTCGTTCCTTTTTGGGGGAATTTTCGGGTGGTCCTGCCAAAATGCAAGCCAAGATAATAATGTAATTTCTTATAATTACAGGGGGAGATGGAATAATTGTATAAGCAAGTAACTGGGTTGCAATTATTTTTTATATGTGGTTTGTTTTCGTACGTACATAATATTTCTGATGAACCATAAAAGGAGAGTCTAGAAGGAGCGTATTTAAATGGGAAGAAGATTGGACGGAATCTACCATTTAGCTTGTTAGTCCATATTTTCTAGGCAAAGATTTGTATAATATTATTCCACCAACTTTAAAAGATATAGTCCAAATAACGTACCAAAATTGAATTAAAATCGTGGATTCTAAGTCATTCAAGACTATTTATACATATACTCATAGACATCAAAAACGTGCTATCACTAAATTATATTTATCATTAAGTATATGCAAATTATGAATTTGACAATTACATAAAACGTTTTGTATTTCAACATATTTCAAGTTTAATTTATTATATCCCAAGAACAAGTACAAGCTCATACTGTTTTGGGTATTTCATATACAGGGTGGCACATCGAAAACGAAACAGGCGCATCTACTGGCAGCTCAGTTTTTTTTTGGAAAAACGCTCAGACCCGTCGATCTTGTTTTCGAAGGGGACACAAGTTTGGCAAAAAATCACGTTAACACGTACAGCCCCCTGGGCGGAGATGACACCAACCCTAAAATATTAAATGGAAAGGGGGTCGAGTGATACCTTATTTTAAAGGTCTTTCAATTCCCTTTATAATGATGTAAAATACATGAGCTTCAGTTCAGTAGTTTTGAAGATTTATTGATTTAAAGCTTAAAGTAGACTTTAATAGGTACATCAGATTAGTTTGTACTACTTTCAGAAGAAATTTGACTAAAATAATTTACTTAATAAGTAAATGCTTTTCTTCACTACGCCCATGGTTTGTTTATCATTTGGTTGTTGAAAATATACTAAGTGACATATAAATCCGAACACCCAGTTTAAATGGTTTTATTTTAATAAAAGTTGATGAATGTATTTATCTTACTGTAAATAACAAGTGAAAAATTTTTCAGCCGTATCTGTTGGAATATTTCAGCCGCAGTAAAGAATCAACGTTGGCGGATTTTGGTTCTTGACGTCCTTTACGATCGGTTACGATGCCTAGAGTACGGAGACCTGTACGATTTCGTCAACTTAGTGAGTTTGATAGGGGCCGTATAGTGGGACTTCGGGAAGCTGGACTTTCGGGCAATTGCAGTTAGAGTGCAAAGAAGTTTAGACACTGTGGTTAGGTGTTGTCAGTCATGGCTTCGAGAAGGCCGTACGCAAAGAGCAAGGGGCACTGGACGCCGCCGTAGAACAACAGACCGTGAAGATCGCCGCCCAAGATTATTGGCCTTAAGGGACCGTTTCTCCACTACCAGGTCCATTGCATATGAATGGTTTGTAGAACACGGAAGACCTATTGGCATGCGAAGTGTTTACCGACGAATGAGAAGTTTTGGCTTGTTTTCATACCGGCCACACTGGGTCCTCTCTTTAACTCGAGAACACCGACGTAATCGCCTTGAGTGGTGCAGACAACGGTCACTCTGGGATCAGGAATGGAACAGTATTGTCTTTAGTGACGAGTCTCGATTTTGTTTAGGCATGCACGATGGTCGTGTCAGGGTTAGAAAGCGACGTGGTGAAAGGAGGAATCCACAGTTTTTTGTTGAAAGACATGTTCATCACACTGTTGGAGTTATGGCTTGGGGTGCTATAGCTTATGGTTCCAGGTCACCTTTAATCTTCATCAGAGGTAACATGAACACGCAGCGTTATATCCACGAAGTTCTAGAACCCCATCTTTTACCCTGGCAGATCCAACTTTCCAACAAGATAATGCCCGACCACATGTTGCAAGAGTCACAATAGACTTCTTTCAACATAATGATGTCACATTGTTACCATGGCCACCAAGATCTCCCGACTTATCCCCCATTGAGCACGTGTGGGATATGATGGGTAGGAGATTGCTCAGTTTGCAACGTCCTCCTCAGACTCTAGAAGCACTTCGAGAGGAGTTGGTGGTTGCCTAGAATGAGATACCACAGGAGGACATTGACCACCTGATCAGAAGCATGCCTAGGCGCGTTGGAGAATGCGTAGCACATCAGGGTGCATCCACACATTATTAAAGGTCAAAGGACTTTAAAGCAGTGCAATCATTTTGAAATTTTTATCATTTACTTATTATGCTTCATTAAGTACTTATACAAAATTTTATTAAAATAAAACCATTTAAACTGAGTGTTCGGATTTATATGTCACTTAGTAGATTATTCATGTAACATTTTGTATTTTAACCAATAAACACTATCGTTATTATTATACAGGGTGTTCAGTAAATAGTACGACAAAGAAATGGGGATGAAAGGCGAAAGGCAGATCTACAACATAGCAAAAAATGACGCTAGTACAAGTTTCACTGTTTTTGAGATATTAATTTTTGTGTCTTTTTCGTTAAATTTCTTCGTTTGATCTACCTGTTGTTGCTGATTAAGCAGGTAGTTTATCGCAGTACTTTGCAGTAGCAGTCTAGTACATTGTTATTTCATTGCTGGATACCAAAGTGGAGTAAAATAGTTTTCTAAAATAAAAATTACAAAGAAGAAATTAGTTTGTCAAGTTTAACTACTTGTATTTATCGGAAATGATATTTCAAATGACAGACCAACTATTTGAGAATATTTTGCAAAGAAAAAATCAAACAGCTATCCCGTTATTTCTCGGCACAGAAACAAAAGATGGATTAAGAAAAATAGACAAAGAAAAATAATATATCAAAAACAGTGAATCTTTTACTAGCGTCATTTTTTTGGTATGTTGTAGATCTGTCTTTCGCCTATCATCCCTATTTTTTTTGTCGTACTATTTCAAACAAAATTATAAAAATGTTTGGAAAATCAGTCTTATGGAGTATTTAAACGTTACTTAAACCTTTACATTTCTTGACTCGTGGTTTTCGTCATAACGCCTTTTTCCCATATTTAATTTTGTATAGGAAAATTGTTTCCCGTTAAGCACCCTCGTAGATGCAACGAAACTGTGTACATGGTATACCGAGGTTGAAGCACCCAACCCGTACCAATATCAAGCAGACTTCCCGACCATACCATAAATATGAAAGATGTACGGTTGTACATTACGAGTACCTCTCACCCGAAATTTTCGCTTTAATTGCAACGATAATTTAGCGTCGAGTACGGCCGGTTTTTTTACTGATTGCAAGATTAACATTTGGTTGCAATATAAAATTCGAGGCCCTCTTTGTGCAATCTCCGCATTTTATTGCACGGTTTTGGGCGCCTGACATTTCTTCCATTCCAGCACAGATGAAAAATAGCCAACGGTTTATTAAATGAACGTTAAACTCTTGCCGGTTTTGGTTTATTGAGTTAAGCTGAGTTAAGCATCAAGATGGTTCAGATATCGCCATGTAATAGGGTCGTTTGAACAATACATATACAGGGTGTCCCGAAAAAAGTGTGCAATATTCTACCAGCGTTTTCTAGAGCTTAAGAAAAGTTTATATAAACATAGGTCGACAAACCTCCCCTAAGGGCGCTACGGTCTTTTAAAGGGGCTCCCCTGAAGATGGTTTTTCCTTAATATTTCCGAAACGTGTTGAGATAAAGACATAAAAGTTGGTATTCTAACCTAGTTTTTTACGCTGGATTTAAAAATATTAACAATTTTATACATTTTTGTTTGGAAGCGTATGTAACAGGGACGGACTCAGGTTATTTTAACCCCAAATTTTTTGTGTGATTCTATTTTTGAAATTCGATTTTAGAATTTGAAAATTTAGGGTTTTCTTCATAATAAAGGTACTCTTATTGAATGTCGATAAATTGTGCCATTTTTGAACAAAATCAAACTAAAAAATTTGTCACATGATAGGAAATGTACTGCGAATTTAAATGAATTGTTGAATAATTTAATAATTGGTGAATATTACATAAATATGTCGCAACCAAGAATGGTACATCGCACACAGGACCACATTTTAACATTTTTCTTCCTCGAGGACTTCATTAGGGAAGTTTGAAAATAAAAAACTTTTTTTTAATATCTTCGAAACCCACCTCTGGAATGAACTAAAATTTGGTGTGTGTATTGTCCAAATTGTCCAATGTTTTTTTTATTTTTACGAAAACAATGCAATCTAGGAAAAAAAGACAAGACTAATGATTTGTAGCGAATTGAAGGTAAATTTGAAAAACTGCGTGTTCAAAAAAAATCAGTGGCGTACTATTTTTATTTGGAAAAATAATGCTACTAGTCCACTATATCTTGGCCACTGGTGCAAATTAATTTTGAGTAAAGACTTTTAAATGTGGACAATACTTAGGTAAATCCACGTTTCATTTCAGTTTACGGTTTTCAAAATTTTAAAAATATTGTTTTTTATTTTTACACTTCTACACCCCGTATTTTTTTAATGAAGCCCTCAAAATGTTACATAGAAGACCCCCTTAAAATGCGGAACTATGTATGATGTATCGTTTTTGGTCACGACTTGTGAATCACCTTGTATATTCTCTGTACTTATTAAGCAATCTAAGTATAAACGACCTATTACAATGAGAAACGCAATAC